CAATAATAACCCTTAATTGAACACAATTTTCAGGACTGCTGCATAGATGATTTCCTAGGATTGATAATAGCAAACATTTGTTCCTAACTTTTTAAAAATACGTTTTTATTTATTTCAGAGAGAGGAAGGGAGAGAAATATCAATGATGAGAGAGAATCATAGGTCAGAGAATCACGGATGGGCTGCTTCTGCATGACCCCCAATGGGGATCAAGCTCACAACCGGGGCATGAGCCCTGACTGTAATCCAAGGGTGACCTGGTTCATAGGTCCAGCTCAACCACAGCCATACCAGCCAGGCTGGTCCTAATATTTTTATTGATTTCAGAGAGGAAGGGGTAGAGAGAGAGAGAAACATCAATGATGAGAGAGAATCATGGATCAGCTGCCTCCTGCACGCCCCACACTGGGGATCGAGCCTGCAACCCGGGCATGTGCCCTGCATGGGATCGAACCGTGACCTCCTGGTTCATAGGTCGACGCTCAACCACTGAGCCACGCCGGCCGGGCAGCATTCCTAAATCTCTTTATCTTTGGGATGGGGATGGACGGGGAGGGATAGGGACAGATGGGGCCAGAGTAGGTAATGTTGTTAACTATTAGCTCCCCTCCTGGGATCAATAAGTCCCAGGGAAAGGGGTTGCTTTCTGTAGGTGTGGGGCTACGGGAGGGACTTGGACACAAGATTAAGAACGTCTCTCTTTTTTTTTAGTTTGTTGATTTGAGAGAGAGAGAAACATCTTTTCGGTACTTCGCTTATTTATGCCTTCATTGGTCGAACCCACAACCTTGGCATATTGGGACGATGCTCTAGCCAACTGAGCTACCTGGTCAGGGCAAGAATGTCTTGTATTTCTTACAACTGCCTGTGAGTCTATACATATCTCAAAATAAGGAAGTATAATTGTGGCTCAGTTGTTGAGCATCGACCTATGAAACCAGGAAGTTACAGCTCGATTCCCAGTCAGGCCACACGCCCGGGTTGCAGGCTCGGTCCCCAGTAGGGAGCGTGCAGGAGGCAGCCCATCCATGATTCTCTCTCATCATTGATGTTTCTCTCTCTCTTTCCATCTCCCTTCCTCTGCCTGAAATCAATAAAAAAAATATATATATAGTTTTTAAAAGTATAATGAAAACAAAACAAAATTAAGAATTTTTTTGGGGAAAAAAGAATGTCTTGGTCCCTGGCAGATGTCACATGAATTGTGGAGGAACCTGGAGGAGGAGGAGGACAGTGAAACCAAAGGCCGGAAGCCAGAAATTGGCCACGTCTTCCTCCTGGACAGAGGTAACCCATGCTGGCACTCCTCTCTCTCTGGGCCCAGAAGCAGCGGGCGTGTGATGTGGTGGCACAGGCGGGACCCTCAGGCTGGGCGGTGCCTGCAGCATTGGTTGGGGGCCTGGCACCCGGGCCTGGGGAAGGCACTGGCCCTCATACTGAGCGACCTGGGCAGCAGGCTGGGGCAGGGGGCCTCACGGTCAGGGCTCTGGGTTTCAGACGTGGACTTTGTGACGGCACTGTGCTCCCAGGTGGTTTACGAGGGCCTGGTGGACGACACGTTCCGCATCAAGTGTGGTGAGCGGCCTCCTGGCGAGGTGGAGGGGCCCTCGGCTCCTGGGGCTCCTGCGTGGCACGGGGCTGGCGGGGGGCACCCAGGC